GGATTAGTCAGGCTGGAAAAGAGCTAGCGGCGTTCAAACCAAAACATGGCACCAGTCAATGAAATCCACAACAGTTAGTTTACGCTAGTCACGTAGGAAGGTGTAGACTTCCTGACTGGTTGGGGTCCTCGGGACGGTTAAAACCAATGGTTGGAAACAATTGGTGACATGGCTCAAAACCGTTCTCAATGTCTAGCGCAGATGCATCCACTTCTTGTGACTTATGATTTCCAATGAAACTATATTGTTCTTTGTTATTACTATTCCTTTGTCTCACACTTCTGTTTACTGTCTCTATTATGCATTTCTTCTACTCTCTTCTGTCGCTTTGTGTGCTAAACGGAGTGTGGCGACTTGAACTGCTGCACATCGGTGCAAAGTTCTATGTTAAAAACAAAGAGACAGACAGACGTTTCTGGAACCATTTAAAGATTCAATTTTCATATTATCTAATGAGTGTTGGCTAACCCTGGAATCCTGAAAGCCTGTTATGTCCTATCTATTACTTGAGTTTTCAGTGAGTGACGTCGTTCCTACTGAGACCTGGATCCACTACTAAAGATACGAGAACCACCCTGTTGTACTAAAGGTGTCAAATCCCCGCGAACCAACACTTGAATATTAATCTGATGCTGCCTAGGGAATGGCCCTATTCATGTAGATAATTTACCTGGGTTCTAGTGAGAAGTGGGATATAGCAAGTCGAGTGTGAGGCAGAATACTCGCAGCTGATGATATTGAATGGTCATTTAGTTGAGTCTTAGTGGCTGAAGAGTCTAGGAGCTGACTTTGTAACCGGAACGTCGTACGTAGGTTCAAACCCCAGGAACTGCGCACTGTTGGACAAAACTACTGTCCAATACTCCTAGATTCCCCAATGTTTCTCTAACAGAAAAACCATAATCTCTCTCAGTACAATAATAAATTTTTTTGTGGTTATAATCTATAAATTGATAAAATTTCTACAGAGAATAATAAAGAGAAGGATAGGAAAATAGATAAATTCATTTTGTTGTGACAAGTTAATTTAAAAATCTCGCTCTTTTTTTAGCTTATTTATCATTCATTGATGCATATAAACAAACACACAGCTGTTTATACCATGAAGTTTATCATCACATACTTTGATGATGCACAAATAGCAAGAGTGTGTGCATACGATAGAGAGAGAGATACAGGGGAAGGGATAGATAAATCTTATTGACGAGAGAATGTGGCTAAAGGCGATCTTAAATAATCTGTAAAGGTAAATTAACACACACACACACATAGGCACACTCAAACACACTTACAGAAATGTACTCCTTATCTCATGTTTTATATTGTCTGATAGGAATTTTATTTCCCCGTAAAAATCAAATAAAACATTGGCATTATCACATAAGGTAGAAAATAATAGTAGTAGTATTGTAGGGTTTTTAAAAAAATAATAATAACTATCACTTCTGTGTTTACAGTGATTTATTCTAAGCATAAAATTGGTTAATCCCTTCTAACTCGAGAGGAGTTCAGATAAAGTTGGATTCGCTTGACTGGGGTTGGGTAGGCCGGGGAGGGGTTGGATAGTAAACTGAATTCGTCTTTTTACGCTTCAATAAGCTGACAATAAAATTGGTTTTGTTTTTCTCTCGATAACTCTGATCGTAGTAGCATGCTGAAGGGACTTGTTGAGGTTTGTGTGTTTGTGCATAGCGGAGGGGTGGTATCTCCTCCATCATTAAAAATTGATTACACAAATAAAATGGGCTCTTATTTATCTGCCTATATATTTATTTGATTATTTACTTATGTACTCTTATCATTCAATGAAAAAGACTCACGCATCTCTGCCTCCAGTTCATCAATTTTATTATTATTATTTTAATTAATCCTTTTACCAATTTTACTTTAGAGTTGTTATCACCACCATTCATCATTCATCACCAGTAAGTATATCTCTTGTCTACATTTTGGAGACATTTTAGAGTCTAAGAAAATTTTGCGATCAAACAGCAGCATCTCTACAATTCCGCTCACCCCCCCCCCAACGCGTATCACACACACTCTAAAATCTACTGCCAATCCTTAATAAATTTAACTGAATCCCCCCATCACCACCACACACTCTCTATGTGTTCAAAGTTTAATTTTGAAATAAAATGCACAAATGTCGTCTAATTCGTGATCTGTAGGAATGCACAGAACACACTACATTGCACCACACCACACCAAACACACAGACAGACACAGCACAAATACAAACTTATATACTTATATGTCTAAGGTGAAATTGAAAACCACAGGAATAATCAAAGCTGTTTCTCTGTGTGTGTGTGTGTGTATTTTATCAATAGTTAGAATCTTTAGGTTAAATAAACAAGCAGAGAAGGGTAAATCTCGATTACACGAACTAATCAACACTTTGCATACACAAAGATGAATGATAACCTCAATAATAATAATAATAATAATAATCTCTTGTAGCACAAATGCACACACAATTTCTCTAAAGATTAATCTTTGCAAAAAAAAATCACATAAAAAGTTGAAATGAATGTTGTCGAGTTTTTTTTTACGTCTGTTTGTGTGTGTGACAAACAGAAGATATTCCACGATCACATTTTTATCAGAATGGTTTAAAAGGAAAACTCTGTTTCTCTTTATTTCCCTTCAGCCACCATCAAACAACAAACATATGCATATCTTTGTGTGTATGTGAGTGTGTGTGTATTTGGACGAAATTAACTGTTAATGAAGACATACATATATGCACTAACTTTTGTTTAATTAAATCAAAGTTTGAAAATAAAATCAACGCGGGATATATGATTTATTTTTGAATTAGATGTATGTTAATGATTAATACATATATATATATATATATATATATATATATATATATATATATATATTTGGTGACACTATTATTAATATTTTTATAATTATTTATTAAATCATTTTGACAAAATCCATTTTTCACATCCATTTATCACATATACTACACAATAACTCACAATACAGATGTACTGGAAAGGGAAAAATCTTCCTTTAAAATGGGAATCCTGCTGTGAAAGTGTATAGCTAGTTTTTCTTTTCTTTTTTTTATAATCTGATTTCTATTATCACGTTTTATACCTTCAGTCTGTCAGCTAGTCAGGCAGCAAGTCACTCAATTGGTTATTTTAGTCAATCGTTCGTTGTTCAGTGAAACCAGACAGTCACAGTATTTTATATATATTTACACACAAACTCGTGCACACGTGTGTTAAAAAAAAATAGAAGTCAAACTGTATTCAACAATGTATTTTTTATCGATAATTTATATAATAACGCTAATCTCAATAAACATGCTTATCCATAATCTTTCTTAATCAGCATTATTATTAAGCATAGATTGTAAAATATGAATATACGCATGTGTGTACATATTATATCCCGCTGATATCGAATAAACAGAAACTAACAATCACTTCCACTGGTAGACATCAATTTCTTCTTCTACTTCTCAATATGGTAATCATCTTGAATGTTATATGCACGCACGTATTTCAAAAAGTTTACCTACCTACCTACCTACCTACGTACCAGTTATGACTGCATTTTTTGTTTTGTTTTAAGTAGTTCAATGTCCAATACTTTAGCTCGCATTAGCCATAGAATGTCACATGTTGTTTTCACCGCTTTGTTTGTTTTGTTAAAACAATGATATGCCTAGTAAAATTTGTCATCATCTATCATAACAATTAATTTCCAATAGAGTTAGGTTGTAGAGACTTGATTAATCTGATCCTCGTTAGTGTGACTACTGACTGACTGCAGCACAAAGTTGACTGGACTATGAGTTCTAATGAGACCAGTTGTGATCAGTGGGTATACATCAGGTCAAACGGCGAGGATAGATACTCACAGTGGATGACATCGGCTGTCACGAATTGGTAGAAGTTAGAATTCATGGGCTAGTCATTGTGTTGGGTCCCAGTGACTGAATAGTCTACGAGGTTAACTTGTAACCAGATGGTCCTAGGTTCGAACCCCGCTGTAGTGAAGGTATCACTCCTAGGGTGAAGTGATCACACAATATAATATAATACTTACTCTACTTGGACCGTAGAACAATTAGTAAACCAGAACAGAACACCAGTTCAGCCGCTCAAACTACGAGTTATATATCAAGGATCGGTATTGCTAAGAGGCGACAAGTACTTAGTTGACGAGAGACTTTGGACAAACAACCGAATTAAAGACGATAGAATGACAGATGGCAGGCTGGGTAGCTGACCTCTGAACTAGTGGATAATAGTGTTCCCTCTCTGGCATTCGAAACAGCTTTGGAATGTTCATGGGACACCAGCATTCACTGAGAAAACAGACACATTCCCGAATAGGGTAAAACACGCACCACAGCGAAGGAAAGGGTTATTTGTTAATGTCTATTAGTAATGAATTTCAATATAAAATCAAACCGAATCAAATCTCACCATAACGAACATGATTGAAATAAGAAAGAAGGGCGAACATGAAAAATAACGACCATGGAGTTGAAACGCACCAATGACGACCTTCAACGAATATCATATGTTGAATTACAAAACCTGTTGTGTATTCTACATCAAAAGCCGCTTATTTACCAGAAAAATTAACATTATAGTAATGATAATAAACCTTATTAAAGAGGACATTTTGCTCTGACGTAACTAAATAATACTTCCCAATAATGGGGATCAGTTTTCAAGTTTTATGGATATCAAAACAGCTTTCTCTATATGAGCAAGGAAATACTCTTCTCCTGTGTCCAAACAGTATTTAAAAAAAAAGAGATCAGAATGAAATTTACACCTCAAATCATGCTCAGTATTCACACTGGTGGCGTTTTAAAAACGTCATGTTCTGTTCTACAACGAACAACCTGCCTTCAAGACCACTCACTAGTGCATTTTCACTCCATGATCGCTATTCTTAAAGTTGATCGAAATAAAAATTAATAATAATACCTAATTATACTTAAAATGAACTTTACTCACCTCTTTTTTGCATGTAAACAAAAAGTTCATCGAGAAATTCTTTCCTCTTTGGATCATCTGATATGACGTATAACTAAAATTTCAGAAAAAAATGAAAATTTTATCATTATCTGCAGAAGGATGAAGCCCAATTTTTTCCCCAACATTCAATGTCAGACATTCAATATGCTAATAGTATTTAGGAGTGTTCATTTAATCTGGATGCTAAATTTTAACAACTATGTTACATTTGTTTCAATTCTGATCGTGGATTAATGATTTCATCAGTTAGACAGCTATTGAAGACCAATACCGGAGTACTGGACAGCTGTTTGTTCTAGATTCGGACTTATCGTAAATACGCACCCACCAGGTTTCGAACCCAGTATTGCTGATGAATCCCAAACTAGGACGACAGAAACAGCTATTCAGTACTCCAGTACTCCCTGACTGATATCAATCCATCGTCAAACTTGAAACACATCGAATCCCCTATGAACAAACTCTTGAAAAGCATGTTTGATGTTCAACCTTTGTGGATCTGATTGATTTGACGGTAGATTTTACTTCAACTCATTATCAGCTGAGGTCTGTGTTATTTTTGAGAGGTTAACTTACCATTTAGTTATTTAGTCATCTGGTTGCTTTTTACTTTGGTCGATTTGTAGTACAGTATAACTGTCTTATGATGTTACTCATAAGTATCTGTCCCCATCGTGGACTGACTGTTTCCACTCCTCCAGTTTGGCTGCCTCGTAAATTTAAGGTACTACGGTTCAGTTTTGATGAAACCATTGTCAGACTTCTAAAGATTTTAGATTTAAAACTATATAGCTGTCGAAAACTCCCAGATTTCATGTGATACTCTGATTGAAATGTATCGATAAGTTCTCAAACTATCCTTGAGTTCCTAGAGCTTAGTCGAAATTGATGGACTGTGAGGTGCGAGAAGACAGAAAAATACGTTGAACCAATAAGGACACTTATGAAGATCTGGACTTTGTAGATGATTTATGTCTAAAATCACATAAACTCGAAGATTTACAGGAGAAAACCAACAAGTTGACAGAAGAGGCAGGCAGCAAATACAAGAATTTAAGTGAACATAGAGAAGACAGAAGTGATGAACATTACCATTCAATAACAACAACTAGCACCAGTTACTATCGACGGGAAAAATTTAAGAGAGATAACAGTCTTTACTCATCTAACCAGACAGCATCTTTCTAACTACAGGCGACAGAACGGTTGAGAATGTCAGATTCAGTATGGATCGAAAAGGCATGGTAAAACTTCATCGGGCTGAAATGAGTTTGGAAATCGTCTACATTAGTTAACTCAGCACAAACAACAAAATTCGGATTTTTCCCATCTGTGTTAAGTCACTCAGTCGTTCTTTATAAATCAGAGACCTGCCAAGTGAGTCACCTTAAGAATTTCCAATACGTTCTGACGTTTCATCGACCGCCGTCTTCGCTTTATACTGAAGATTACATATCCACCTAGGAAGAAATTGTGTGTGTGGAGACGAATCGACCAAAAAATATTCAGAGGGAAATGGAGATGGATCGGGCACACATGTTAAAAAGACCGCCCATTGAAATAGTGAGCCAGGCAATTGCTCGAGTGGGACCCGAATGGAAAATGATCAGTTATGTGTCTGTGGATCGTGTGAAGAGGAGATGAAAGCTTATGATGAAATACAAAGCCAGCTGAAGGGGAATGCAGAGAACAGCATAAAGTAGAGATGTGCTACTGATGTCCTATATTCCACATGGAACGCAAGGGAATAATAAACAATATAAACGTGTCTAGAGAAGCTAGTCCTTCGGATCAGTGAACAGAGTATACATTCATGCGACACTAAAGTCTGCAGGTGAGGGCTGTGTTTAGTCTTCCGGCCCGTCCTCCATTTCCACAAACTATCATTATTTAGCTGGAAAATCAAACTGTTACCCAACTATGTTCTGATTACACAGTAGGAATCACTTGCTTATATAACGAAGATGTCAGTTGAATGATGGATGGATGGATGGTAGTATGGTCGAGAGGGGTGGGGAATGGGCAAATAGAAACCAACGCCAACTACTTTGACATACGAAAACAGACTCAGAAAATAATTAATCATAGTAACCATAGTCATCGTTTCCATCATAATAATTTTATTAATAATAAGAAGAATAGTAAAAATACTGTTGTTATTCATGAATCTGATAATTAATTAGGCGCCTCTCCCAATATAAAATATATATATATATATATATATATATATATATATGTTCATTATGACAGACAGATTTAATTAACCACAAAAAGAAAGCTACATTTAATCTTTCTTGGTTGTAGTAGAAGTTGTCGCTGTTACCATAAAGGACTGATTGATTTATAGTGAACATTGGTAATATAGCTAATAGAAGAGGAGAAACCCAGTGGGAGATGGACAACTGTTCATCCCAGTCTGATATATATATATTCTTCAGCCAGTCACAGTGTATAATATAATCCCCAGTAAAATCTAAGTAAAGGACAACAACTGAAAGTACATTGGCCATAACTGGATAAAACCCATTCCACACGGGTATGAGAACACATCCCAGCATAGTTTTACAAGGGGTTAAGTAAGGGTATGCGAAGCTCTATTCATTATAGAACACTTGATCGACGACCATGATTTTAAGATCATCATCTAGGAAATTCATGCTAACCTTCCCGATTTCATCTTCGTCATAAACTTCTAAAGACAGAGGAAACTTTGACTATTCATTCATAAATTTCAGTCAAACCTTTGTGCACTAAAAAAGTATATACCATCCCTATTTCTGCTTCGACCATAGAGGGATAGATATCAATTAATTAATTATTATTTTTTAATTCACTTTTTCGATTTTCTCGTCGATTGATTGGACCGAAGTGCTCGATCTCAGGTCAACATGTCAGCTTCTTGTGCAGATGCTTCGACGATGTCTGGGCATGTAATTACAAGTTAATTGGTGGATGGTTAGTAGCAGCGGGTTCCAGAATGGGCATTTCGTCCTATTTGGGACTCGTTATCTGGATGTACCTGCATTCCGACGTTCGAATCCACTGACGAGTCCCAAATAGAACGAAATGCGCATCCTGGATTTCACTGCTAGTCACCATCTACCAACTAACTTATAATTATTATTTTTTGTTTGTTTAGTTAATCTACGTACCTTTCCCTCATTGCTGCTATTATTATTGTTATTATTACTACTACTATTCTCACTTTGAAATGTTTCCACTTGTCATTCTAAATCAAATTTTGCTTTTCAATGTTCATATCTATCTTATCATATCTCACACGTTGCTGCGTAACGTTTTACATTTGCCTACTAACCCTATAATTATACACCCCTTCCAACATCTATACATCGTATGAATTATTCTGTGTATGTCATTAATTGTTTTGCCACTGCATTTGAAATATCCCATGTCTGTTGACATGTTGGATGCTTCGATGATGGCTTAACGTGATGTTATTTGATTCATGATGACTAGCAGTGAAATCAGAGATGCTTATTGAATCCTTCATCTGGATTTGTCTGAATCTCAAGTGCTCGTAATAAGACATCCCCTCAGAGATTGAGCATTTTAGTAAAGTGGAATGAACCAACAGGGAAATAAAATATCATTTTTATTTTTATTTTTTTTTATTTTTGATTACAGCTTGATTCAGCACCGTATTGAATAGATAATACTCCATTAGGAGTTGAAAGAATTCAAAGAGAAAAACTGGATCTGAACACGCATCCAATACGACATTTAATCATCCTTTGCGGGGGTGGAGAGTAGTCTCCTACGGAGTTTATTGTTCACACCGATAATCAGTTTTAAACTGGATAGAACAAACGTACACTCTTTGTTTTCCAAAATATTTTTCAATTGACGATTCCCAATATCTGGATATCATACTTAATCAGTTTGACTTTTAGCTACACATGCCACTACATGTAGGACTAAGTTACGAACCCCTAGATGTTGTATTTTTAGTTGATGGTGGTGGTGGTTGGGTTAATTGGTTTCACAGCCTGAAGTCAATTACAAAAGCCTTTTGAAAACAAAAGATTACCAAACAGTATTTTTATTAGTGTTCAGGATTGATGACTTATGATGGATAACTACGGTACATAACTCGATGAACTCAGATCCAACAGGTCAAATGCTGAATATTGCAACAGAACGATGCAAACACAATATTTATACTTATTTGGGGCCGTTTCAGCTGTCTTTGAATAGGTGGCACAGTGGTTAGAACTCTCGCCGACCATGCACATAGTCCGGGGTTCGATCCCCTGTCGACGCACATCCGATATCTATGGTCGGCCTGCAAAATTTGGTCTACCGATATCACATGCTGAAAATTCCATACCTATACCAAAAAATACGATGTGGAATCAAGTTGTAGTCAAAAAATATATTATTACCCTGTTTTTCTCTTAGACTGTAAATCATTCTTCTGACATTTGAATATCACATTGTTGATTTGATCCTTATTATTTATCTTTGTTCATGTTTAATCTCTAATTTTGATGTTTCTCTTTGTGGATGTGTGATAAATTAATAGTGCATAGTTGTACTATCAGATCCCCTGCACCTCCTTTATTCACAACTATCCCCTTGCATCTCATCAGGTAGGACAAGAAGTCAATATAATAAGTTATATGCTCGAACCGCTAAGTACAAAAATTCTACAATACCCTATTTAGCCCGTATTTTATGTGATGAAGACACTGTTAGACGTGAAACATATAAGTTACTATGTAATTAGCAAAGTGAATCGACCCTTTCATTGTTCATCTTTCTGTATTTTATGGTATCACACTTTCTATCGTTTAATTATAACTTCGCTATTTTATTTTAGTTGTTATTACTATTATTACTATAATTTTATATTTATGCATATTTTTCTCCGTATCTCATACTGTAATTTGCTCCATAGATGGCATAATAACGTTTTGTTATTATTATTATATAATGTTTTTTTTGTCGTTTTTGGGTAAATTAGACTCAATATTGTACTGAATGCTGAAAATTCCTTGCTGTATCATTAGTACTGTTTTTGGAATAAAGCAA